GGCATTAGTTTGTGGAGAAAGATTAATGTTACAAGGTCTTCAATGATAAAAACAAAACACACACACAAAAAAACCAGAGAAAACCTCAACAATCAGACAACTCCCTGCGAGGAAGCACTTCAGACTTGACAATAGAAAGAAAAAAACTCCCTTTTAATAGGAAAGAACTTCTGGTAGAAACAGCTAGGCCGGTCGGGGTGTCGCATTGAATATATAGATATACAACTAATGTGTGTCTGACAATAACTTTTAAATCCAAAAGTTTTTGTCAGAGTTAACTGGTCGAAACCTTTCATTATACTCAAACCCGGTAGGTTTAGTTTCCTCTCTTGATTATGCAAAGTTAAGCAATCCTGTGGAAGCCTTCCATACAGAACACGAGGTCTTTAAAATTGCATGCAGATTATGAAATGATATATTTATTCCTTCAGGGATACGTTTTTTCTAACCTTGCTTTTATCATGACTGTACGTGGATTTTTTTTACCTTTTCAAGCTAGCACTTGTTAAACCACCAATTTTAAATCTAAAATTACTCCCAAATGTACCGTTTACATGTAATATAGTAAAACTATATGTAATATAATGTACAAAACATACATATACACACACGCATGCAGGCACAAGTTGGTACTTCACTTTAATCCCTCCACCCTCTGTGACCACTGATTCATCAGATGGATAATCTGGGGTTTCTCCGTGCTGTTCTCTCAGCCACAGAAGGCCCCTTTAAAGACATCACTGCAGTTCCCTAATGGCCTAACCTCCTGTTTAAGGAAAAAAGGCAGAGGCAAGAGAGAGGGAGAGAGGGAGAAACTTAGAGAGAAGCAGAAAGAGAAACAGAGATGGTCTTTTAAGATGATAGCAATGTTCCCAAAAGGCCTTGCTTCTGTACAAGGAGAGTTCTTTAGAGAACAGACAGTCAAGTGTGTCCTCTCAAATGAAGCTACGGTGAAACTGTCCCAATCCCTATTTTCAGCTCTACTGGTGCGTTCCGGACACTGAGAACACATGTTTTCTATCTATCATTTTTCCCTCCCTTCTCACGGTTTATCTCTCTTCTCCATTTTCCTTTTCTTCTCTGACCACCTATGTGATTTTTCTTCCAGTTTTTCCTCAGGTGTCTAATATTCTAACTGTAAAATATGATGTATGTTGAAAATTAGAATGACAGTTGTCATTACAACTGAGCGACCTTGCTCATAATCCACTCAGAACCATAGGATCATTGGCCTCGTTGGAAAAACACAGGGAGCACCGCTTTGTGGAAAAAACCCTGTTGACATTAAGATGATTTGTTTTGCTTTGCTGTTAGCCAATGACAAGAGGGACCTTAGGCACAATGGAAAAAGGTTAAAGCACGGAAAAGCCATTTTAAAACTGTGCTGTGTGGTTAACAGCATTTTATTTTTTCTTATTCGGAAAAATCAATACAGTTGCTGAATATAAGTTTCTGTGTGGATAAATGCACTTATTGCTTTTAGAATGTTACTGGAAATCTTATTAGAGTGGAGGACAAATTCATGTGATCCCCTGTTGAATTTGTAAGTTCGCTTACTTACAAACTACAAAATATCAACCAAAAATTCATAGAAACACATTACATAAAAGTTGTAATTTGATTTGCATGTGACTGAGTTAAATAAGTATTTGAATCATAAGTAAAACACGATTTAGTACTTGGTAGAGAAACCTTTGTTACCAATTACAGCAGTAAGCTGTTTTTCTGTAGTTGGTCACCAGGTTTGCCCAGATTTCAGGATATTGTCCCACTTCTCTTTACGGAAACTCTCTAAATCCTTTAGGTTTCTTAGTTGCTGCTTGACAACTCGAACTCTGGCCACTCTTTGACCTTGTGTGCATCTTCTTTAGTCACTCCTTTGCTGACTTAACAATATGTTTTGGGTCATTGTCATCATGAAAGAACCATCTTCAGTGTTCTTGCTGAGGGAAGGAGGGATGTTTCTTTGTGCTTGACTGTCAGAACGGTGTTTTTTGGGTCATGTTCAGCATTTCTCTTGACAAACATAGATTAGTTGAGTTGATGTTTCTAAATAACTGGAAAAGCAGTTGTCACCTTTTCACCAAACTTCCTGCTAATAGTCCTGTAGCCCATTCTATCCTTGTGCAGGTCTACAGAGGATGTGCCTGACATCCTTTAACAGCTTTTTGGTCTTGCCCATGGTGGTGGATAAGTTGGGATGGATGAAACTGGTTCTGTGCACAGTTGGGCTTTATCAAACAACGAATGTCAATCAGGAGTACCCATAATAGATTAACTGATTGATTGATTGATTGATTGATTGATTGATTGATTGATTGATTGATTGATTGATTGATTGATTGATTGATTGATTGATTGATTGATTGA